ACGCGCCGCCTCACACGCTCGAGCTCACTCCCCCCCACAGCGGTTCGGAGTTAGTTGGGGGAGTTTCGATCAAACGGTCGTTAAAACCGAATCCAGTACGGATCCAGCTGCTGTTCGTCGCTGCCGAGAGGTGAATACTTTAATACTTTTAGAGGGCACACAACCGCTCACGCTCGGCTCGCTCCTCCTGTAGGCGGAATTGGCGCCTCAAACTATTTTTTTTTTTTATTTAGCAAATCGCAATCCTGGCACATCGGAGGGAGGAGTGCGAGGAGAGGTCGAAGCAAAAAATGAATACTTTATTAGTGGGAGGAATAGAAGATCAGTGACTTGAACGACAGGGCGGACAGTGTCTTCATGGTCTGCAGGAGGTGCAGAAGCCCAAATCATAGTGTGTTCAGCTAAAGGAAACTTTTTAAGGACTCAATTCCACTGTGATTAAAAAAAAAAGGTCCACCACAATTTAACGTGCTGTCGAGCCCAGAGGGTTGAAGACGAGAGACGCTCTGAAATTGCTTCAGAAACAGATATTTGAAAACGTATAGGTTCAATGTTAGAAAAAAAAGTTTCAAAGAATCGCATGTTTTGTTGTTTTACGATTTGCTGTCACACATTTCAATACCAATTTAAGACTTGTTTTAGATTCAATACCTTTCAAGACCATTAATGAAAATAGCCCCAAAAAAATGACATAATACTTTGTTTAAGTTTAAGTTCAAAAGTTTCCTGTGTTGAAGAGCTCCATCGCTGCCCAAAAACTATTTACAAAGTCCCTTCAGGGGCCCTCGCACCTCCGGCAACAAAAAACAGCTAGCAAGTAGAAAATGCAGCTGGAGATTTGTATTAACAGCTAAATGGAAACAGCTTTTATACGGCCGATAATCTGTGCCTGATATTCATCAGTCTGAAGTACAGACAATTGTGTTGTGTACCTTTTTTGTCACATTGCAGTGTGAACGCACCCAGACTGTGTGACCTGAGAGTGAATGCGAGCATTACTCAACTCATCACTCAAACTACAGGCTAAAGATGGAACAAACACGTTATTCCAGCTGCTTTTTTAGTAGTAGGAGAATTCCGTTTTTTTACATCTCATCCTAAAAGCCTTGAAACGCGACAGTGTGAAGTGATTTTTCGTGCGTGTTTGATTAAAGGGGTGAAAACCCAAAGTGCAGTTGGGGACTTTCTGTGTTTGCCGCGCGGATACCGAAACGTTGTGCGCGTGTTTGCGTTGAGATGTGGTCTCTGCAGAGTTACACGCCGGAGCCTCTGGCTCGCCGCCCCTGGACGCCGCTGCGTCTGTTCGGACCTTCAAAACGAACAACAATGAAGTTAGCTTGCCGAGCGCCGACGAGAAAGAAGATCACACGGGCCAATAGACCTACACACTCACGCACAAACGCACACGCATAATTGAACCCAGTTATTTCTCTGACCTCATCCATCAGATTTCCCTCCCACAACACATTGTCTCGATTAGACGACGTGCTTCCAAACCGCTTTGATCAGAGATGGTTCAGAGGAACGGAATGTCTCTACATATGAATATTTGGTGTGTGTGTGTGTGTGTGTGTGTGTGTGTCTTGGGGGGGATCTTTACAACCACAAGCCAATACCCCCTGGAACCCGTTGTACTCCTTTGTATAGTGGAAGAGCCAAATGATGCAAACGAAATAGAAGATAAATACGTTACTGTGAAGTGGGGAGAAGGGGCCCGAGGCCCCCCAGTCCGAGTCACCGCGACGGAATCAGGCCCCGCCCCCCCCCTCCACTCTCCTATGTGATTACCTCGCCATTCTCTCCTCCTCTGACCTCACTTTTGCCGTTCTCCCTTTCCATTTATTTTCCTATTCACCCGTATGACTTCTGATCCTCCGAAGCGTTTCACCCGTTTCGTCGCCAAAGTTTGCCTTCTTCCTACGACCTTTTTTTGTTCCTCCGCTCTCTACTCCTTGATCTGATTCACCAGGTCTCATCTCCCCAGCTCTCCCCCCCCCCCATTCTTTTTCCCCTTTGCAGAATCACCCTTAATATCTATTCGACTGCCATCAGCCAGAAGAGGGATGAAAATCGATTCGCCTTCCAGCAGCCGCTCCTCTCGGGCTAAGGAGGAAGGCAAGGCAGTTAGCTGGGCTCTAAGTAAGGCCGTCCATCCATCTTCCTTTGAGGTCTGACGACAAGGCTGCTGTGGAATAAGTGGAGCACCGACTGGAGAGATGAAACGCGTCGCAGAGGAGAAGCACTGGAGCAGCAGAGGAGCAAAGACATAAATGACTTGGCTGCAAAGTCAAAACTAGCATAATTCCCTCTTTAAGAAATCGGAATAGAAAAACCTCAACCTTAAAGGGCCAGTTGGTCCAAATTGCTGACAACCCAATTCTCATTTACGTTTTAACTTTTCATGTGTTCAGATACACGTCTGAGATTTTTAAAGATGTTTTTTGGAGTAGCACTATTGTCAAACAGAAACCATTTCTTTGGAAAATGTTTCACCTACAATATATCCCTTTGTGAGTTTTAGTCCTTTCCATGTAAACGTCTGACATTGTTTCATTTGAATACTTCCAGAGGATATCAAATTATCTTAGCTTCTAGTTATCGCGATGTTTATATTCGGATGGCTGACTGCCGAAGATTGTCTGAACTTTGACCGAAAGCGTAGACTCGTCTTTGCAGAAGGAGGCAAACAAAGGGAGCCTGAAAATGAGTTCAGCTGGATTTCCCCAAAGAGAGGTGCACAGGCCGACGCCACACTCCTCCTCTCGTCTGCCGGGTCAGCGTACAGACATGTGCTGTGGGTTTGATGAAAAGATATGAAATATTCAGCAGGCAAAAGCCTTCTGCCACAGACTCGGGTCCCTGAAGAGTTTTCGCTGGCGTGTGTGTGTGTGTTTGTAGCCTGATGTACTGTGTGCGTCCTGCGTACGTTACCAACGAGGAGCGCGGAGAGAATTAAAGAGAAATATGCTGAGAGGAGAATATAGAAAGGCCGCTTTTTAAAGTCTTAACAGGGTCAGTTTGTCATACCGAGCCCAAATTGCTCCTCTTTGTCTTCCTCCAACGGCCTAATGTCTTTTCCGATGGCTGATAGAGAATCTTTGTCTTATGGGACAAAGAGGGATGGTGTCAGTGTCAACTACGCACAGGAAACACTTAGGAAATCCTCCGTATCAGAGAGAACGAACGCGTCAAATGAGAAAAGAGACACGACGAGAAAGGCCAACAGAGCGAGGTCGTCACTACGTCGGGAGGCAAAGTGCTGTCTAAGTGGCGCCCTTTGAACAAAGATGCCGCCTCGCAGTCCTTTCATAGAGACGGCAGCCCTGCAGCCCACGACAAAAGCCCGCTGCTCGGGATATTTCCCGACCGGATCAGACGCGGAGATGCACGTGCAACCCACGAGCTCAGAAACCGGTCAAAGGCCGCGGCGGGGAGCAGGAGAGCAGCGGCCATCGCGGCGCTTTTCATAAAGGTCACATTTCTGAGCCAGTTGCATTTTGTGTGGAATGCACCGTTTTGGGGTCGTTCCTCCAAAACACGACGAGGAGAAAGAAGGTCTAATGTGGACCAAAGTTGCGTAATGTATAATGTAATCCTAATTGTCTCACTGGTAATCTAAAAGGAACAGTATTTTGTTATATAAGACGTTCAGCTTGGCAAGTTTTTATTACATTTTATGAATTCAAGCCCAATTCAAGCCCATCTTTTATATTTATATTTCACACAAAGTTGCGGGAGGACGCAGCACGGGATTAAATACAGGAAATAAGAGACAGAGGCAGCGTTTTGTTTAAAAAGTTACTTTCAATGGTTTTCTTATTGCTTTGATATCTTTATCTTCCTCACAAGTTTCTCAACTTTACGCAAATGAAATCGATATTCCATTCCTTTGAGGCTGGTGGACATTATAGGGCTCATCCAGAAGAAAGCGCTCTGATAATCTGCAGTGTGCAGGGAGGGGAAAGTCGTTCTTCTGTATCGGTGTAATTTACTTTCTCACCACTGGTTCACATATGACAAGTGTAAGAGTTGTACGTTTAATTACAAACTTCCTGCAAAACAAGGTTCCTAGGAGTCTAGTTTCCTTGTGGAGAGTAAATGTCGAGTTTTTGTTACTTTTAAGTAGGAATTAAAAGCAGCATACGTGCACATCCTGATATATTTCAAATACAAGAACCCTTTGGAAGATTCTGCGTTTTCCTTTTTATCAGAGCAGGACCAAACCACATGTTCTTTAAGGGTCTACACACGTGACCGACGAACTATCTCGTCTTCACCGCGGAGCGAGTGAGCACCAAGCCGCCACACGACGGCCCCGAGGTCGGAGGACCTGAAGTGAGAGAGCAGCATCAAACAGAGCGGCCATCCGAAACGGGATTACAGCCGTTGAGGCCGAGGTTCGGATTATGCAATATTCATCTGTTCTTTTTTCTTTTTTTAAGGAGCACGCTGCATGAACTCTCAGGAACTCCTCCCCCAGGGGGGGAACTTTCAGAAGTGAAGGATTAATTTGCACGCATGTGAATTAGCGCTCAGATGAAAGAGAGTATCCAGAACCTCTGTGTATCTGGAATAGAGATTTTCCCTCTGCTGTGTACCACTTCTGTTTAATAATGATAGAGAGAGAAGATGGAAACGTCAAGAGGAATACGAGCTAAAGCGGAATACAATCAAAACACATGTATTTGGAACAAAGCAAATATAGTAGACAGGTACAGACAGTAAACAGTGAAGAGAACAAAGTCAGCTTTAAAAACATACGCAGGCATTTTCCTATGTCTCAGTGTTCAGGTTTGTCGTCACTCTGGAGAGGACTGAGAAACTACACAGCACCGAGGCGGATTGGGACTTTTCTCTTGTGTTTATTTGCGGATTTTTTTTCGGTGTGAACCGAGCGCACCAGGCCCTTCCGCTCCCTTTGCTGTGTTGTCCTTCACGCAAGAGAGCCATTAGCTTTGACACTTGTGGGCAAACACGCACGGACTCATCGTTCCTCTTACCGTCGCAGTCACCCAAGTGGGCCACGTTTCCCTGTTCGACATCTTGCTCGAACGGCAGTCTGCAGAGGAGAAGAGACACGGCCATTAATCACGCAGCACAGAGGAAAAGTATCTCAGTGTTACAGCAGAGGACGAGCTACCAGGGAGCGTATATGTATCTCCATAAGCTGCTGTAAGGCTCTGATTGTATCGTTTCTGTTTTGTTGTGAGAACAAGGAAATCATTAAAACAGCAACAGAGATCCCTTGAGTGGCCTAATTTCTTGCAATAATCACCATTATAATTCAAAGATAACCACTTATGCCTGCAGGGGCACTCATTAAGCGGATTAATGCATTGAATTAGATGTATTTCGAGGTCAGTGTTCTCCACATTAGATTTGTATTTGGGTAGGAAATGTGTTTTAATCATTAATATGGAACTTACGTTAGGGAGGCTGTTAAAATATACGGCAAAAGATAATCGCATCAGTTCGATGAAAAATATATTATTCCGCAGAATAAATATTCAACAAAACCTCCAGCTTGACTCACATTCAACAGAAATTCCCACATATCTGATTTCTACAAATCTATCCACAAGCTTTAAAACTCATTTCCCACTCAGGCAACAGGGGAGCAACAGAAAGTCAAAGGACAGAAACATACGATGAGGTGAGGAAGCAGAGAGGAAATGAGAACAGCACACGGACCAGGTGCACGCTAAGAAAAACACAACTGCTCTTAATCATGGCTCATATCATGGAGGAACGGCAGCATGATGCAAAACAAAGGCTTAGAATGTGTGTGTGTGTGTGTGTGTGTGTGTGTACAATCATGATTAGATAATGTAATACAGTTCCAATCCACTCCTACGAAAATCAGACCCACACAAGGTTTTCATTCTGGTTTCAATGATTGGACACACACACATACACACACACGCAAACACACGGTTAATAATCAGCACTATACATATTGGCCATGTCTACTTAGCAAGTTTAGTTTGGGATTTGCAAAATGCACATCACTAAAATTCAGATTATTCCTTTAATAAAAAAATTGTAATGCATAATCTATGAATAGATGTTTCCAGGGCAACAGTTGTTATAGTGAGATTAGCTCTAAACTGATTGATGGGTAACTCATACTTGTGATCAAACACTTGAGACTTGTTTTGGTAAGGATCCATCAGTCAAGTGAGCACTTGGCAGCAGACAAGCTGACGCAAGTCCAATCTAAGGATCGCTTAGAGAAGCGGCAGCTTATTAAAGTCACTGGCCTTCAGGGTGTGAAGCATGTACCTTTCCTTACTTGCAAGAGGCATTAGCATGCGCTACTCTCTGCTTGATAAGGATGGATATAAATGGCTTTCTCTTCTGTGGTCATGAGCCAGTCAATAACAACACAAAAACATCCCTTGACAAAACAGAAAAAAAAACACTCAAAGCTGAATGGGACAAAGTGAGGGAGAAGTTCTGCAATCAGCTGAAAGCTCAGGCGACATCTGTAAGTCCAAGTGCACCGTGAACCTGTCACCTTAAATAAGAATAATGTGGTTTTTGTGTTCAGTTGGCCGCAACTTAAGGATTGTGGGTTATTTATTCTGTAAACATCATCGTTGCCTGTGTGTGTGTGTGTGTGTGTGTGTGTGTGTGTGTGTGTGTGTGTGCTGCTGTTTTTCCTATAGTGCTTTTTAAATTTCCATCACATTCTTCCTAAATTTAAAGAGTTGATCATAAAAAGGGAACTTGATTAAGACCACATGCGTATCCATGTTAGACGCTTGCTTATTAACAGTAATGATGCCGGCCAGGACTACTTGTACCCCGAGGGGTCACCTCTGCAGTTACCGGAGGCTCAGCTCATCAAATAAAACTAAAAATAAAATATACATGCATTATTAAATCAGCTACAACACCCATTCACTCTCTCTTGTAATGACACGTTGCAATAAAGAGGGAGTGAATAGCTAGAAAGTGAATACTTTGATAAAAGTAATGAATGAACAGTAGTAGTTACAATATATAATATATATTATATTACTGGCAGAAGCAAAAGACATGAAAGCATTTCTCCTCCCAGTACAAAACCCAAAACCACCATTTTCTTGAAAAAATACAAAGATTCTTTCCTCAGAAGCGGCCTAAATAGATAAGAACTATAACATCAGCTGCTGAGTTGTCCGCTGGCGTCAGTTTGCAAAGAGAGGTCGCATTTAGTCCAAAAAGAGGAAATCCGCAGTAACTTAATGCAGAATCGATTGCTGAGTTGACCGACCTTGGCGAATCAAATGAAACCCAACCCACGGGCCTTTAATGGTATCAGCGGGCAGCCTGAGGTGGTCTAAAGAACCATGTTGTCTGTTCTTCTGGCACTACACCTCTGTTTTGAAGGCCTAATTCAATAAACCTCCTGACTAAAGAGAGAGATTTCCTTTCACCGGAGGGAGGCCGCCACGACCGGGGGAGAGCAAAACACAGCAGAGAGAGAGAGAGAGAGAGAGACTCACACAGACGCTCTCACATTCACACACATCCACACAACACTGCGTCTGGGTACGTCATGCATAACACAGACAGCAAGGAACAAACACACAACGCCGCCCGCGGCCCCACAAGTCCGCGGCGTTATGCGGCCGCCAGCTGATAACAGGCGCGAAGCAAAGGAACAAAGTGGCGTTAAACGGTAGCAGCGGACATCTTGAATCGATAATGTACAAAGAGCAGACTGTGTGACAGGTTACTTGGAGGGCACAGATGTTACCCAGATGCTCAACGAGTCCCAGGCTGGAAACCAAGGGTTTCCAGACCTGATAAATAATATATGGAACGTCTCCGAGGGGGGTCCGTCGTAGAAGAAGAGGAAAAAATCCTCGACCACCACGATAAAAAGGAAATGGAAATAAATCAAATCAAAACAAAATAGAAAAATCTCTCTGAGATCAAGGGGGGGGGAGGAGAGACAGGTGTTGACACAGCACGTGGACTTAAACCAGACAGGGTGGTACGTGATGCAGGGAAGGTGCTCTATGCCGTGTGATAGTGTGTGTGTGTGTGTGTGTGTGTGTGTGTGTGTGTGTGTATTCTATACAAAGGAGAGGAGTCATACCTGGTCCCAGGTCTGAGGAAAGAACAAGTGCTTCCTCTGGTCCAGCCGCAGTAAGGATCCCTGGAGGCGATACAGTTCCTGCAGGGACACAAACAGACCGCGAATAATCCTCATTTCACTTTATTTCATGTATTTAAATGTAAAGTAGTGATCTGCATCTCCGCACACATTAGGGGGGGGGCATAATGCTCTCTAACGTTGGGCTGGATGAAAAAAACAAGCTCAAAGACGTCCAATGTGAAGGTTCACTAATCTCGAGAAGGACTCAAGTCTGTAAATTAATTTTAAAACCGTACCAGCATCATGAATAGAAACTGGTGTGCGCCTAAAAGAGAAAAAAATCCCCAAACCTGCAGCACTTGAAAAAGGATGTCAGAGATGTCAAGTAGCGTGAAATGGATTAATAGTTTTGACTGATTAAATGTAAAACCTCTAGTATCCTCACTCAACTGCACGACATTACTTTTCAATGGCGGGTCCTCAAGTGGTGTCAAATGGGGTTTGAACGTCAACCCGCAGCTCTATGCATTAGAAAGCAGACCGCTGAATTATTAAAGATTAAAAGAAAAGAAGCCAACCAGGCGGACTGAAAGCCGCGCGGAGAGGAAGCACGTATCAACGCGTATCAACACCAGACCTGACGCCGCTGAAGCGTGACTGAGAAATCAACGAGCATCCCAAACATCCCAACTCCCGGTCTGTGATCCAAACACGTAAACTCACGCGCTGAACGCACCTCGGGAAGAGCGTGAGCGCTCCCTAATGCGCTCCGGATCACACGCCTCGGCGACTCGCCCGGTTCAGCGAACACAGCGCCTGATGAAGCACTGGTTTGTGTAAGTGTGTCAGTAGACCAGGTAAATGTCGGCCAGGGGGGGGAGGTCAGTACTGTGGGGCTTGTGTGGGTGTATGCAGGTGAAACATTATTACTTTGATTATATGCATTTTTATGTTTAATGTTAAACACATTCACACAGGCAAACTGACGCACTGGAGACGAGGTGAAAGTAAAAGTATTAAGTAGCTGCTAAATAATATCGCATTAATAATTAACATTGTCGTCACTGGTTATGCTTTGTACTGTAATATAGCTGATGATGATCTAATTGTGTTCAATCATTACAATGTGAGATTTATAGTGATTTATAGCAAATTTAGCAAGTATAAGCAAACTTATTTGATGAAATTGCACTTTCTTGTTTCTTGCTCTTGTGAGTTTGTATCCTTATGGTTGAATGCACTTATTGTAAGTCGCTTTGGCGTCAGCTAAATGACATGTAATGTAATATAGTAATAGTAATAGTGTGGTTAAATGTATTGTCCCTGAGGGGAAATTTGACTTTGTCAAAGTGCAACTTTACATAAGAAATATCACAAATAACTTTAAAACATAGACACATTTCAAAGTGCATATTATACGACTATAAGATGTGTCATGTGCTGAATATTCTGTTAAGCTCCATTATATTTTATTATTGCAATTTATTGACCATATAATGTTTTAATACTTATATTTTGTATTTTTACTAATATGTTTCAATAATAATAAAATGACCGTTATAAGATACGGTTAAAATTTGTCTTCAAGTCCCGGAGCTAATAGCTAAAAGCCTATAACGACATTATATTTAACAGTAAAATATTACACTGTTTACATCTGTTTTTTACTAGATTTGATGTTTTTTATTTTAATTTAATGACATATTTATTGCATTTTGAATGTAAGTATTAATAACCAGTTAACACGTTACCAGTTGTTATAGTGGAAGGATACATTCCTGCAATAACAAAGGCTCAGTGTCGTGCACAAGGACACTTGTTGTTCTTGAACGTTCATCTAACCTCTTATTATGTTGCTCTGCAGCCTTTCAATGTCTCCGCCCCCCCAGTGTTTGGTGCAGACTTACTTCATGCACCGGGAGTAGAGCTGGCATCGAGCCACTGGTACTCTGACCACACAGGAGGGGAAGGCCAGAAGCAGAGTGTGGCTCTCCCGATCCAGAGTCAGGGACAGCAGCTGCCTGGCCTGCAGAGAGTCTTCGGCACACCTGCAACACACACACACACACACACACACACACACACACACACAAAACGCCCAAATAGATTAGACCGTTTCAATTAGCAGGCCGAGGCTGCACATTAAGCCTGTCACCTCGCTGAGCGTTTCAGCAGGAAAATTAATTCACATCGAGTCGTGAGGAGTATTTATTTTCCTGCTGAAACGCTGAAAAGAATCAAACTTTGTTTAAAGGCCGTAATAAAAGTGAACGAGATGACAGGCAGCCTTCTAGCCAGAGGTTATAATGCTGATCCAAATATGCACTGTGCTGATCGTAAAGGTTGAAGAGGTCCGCCGGACATCAAGAAATAGCAGCCAGCAGCTGAGTAAGAAATTGCCACATACCTTTCTATGCAAAAGTACAGTCATGCACAATTTGCATCTGCATGGTTTATGGTAATGAGATTGTTGCAAAACCACAGTCATGAAGAATCTAACATTCTGCTAAAGCTGATCTGCCCTTCTTCACTGCCTAGATCACGAAAAGCAGCCAAAAGGAGGGAGAGAGATGCAGGGAGTGCAAAGCAAAACAATAAACTACTAATGAAAGGAAAGATAAACAACGACGGGGAGACTCGTGAAAAAAACAGAACCATGATGAGACGCGGGGATACAGGCTGCTCCGTTAGCGCTGCATCTATCTCGTTACCATGTTCATTACGGCAAGCGGGCCAATCACAAAGCGGGGATTTCTCTCTGTGATGACTTCCTGATAGATGAGTGTGTTTGTGGCCCTGCTCCCGCGTCCCCTGGGGTTAACTTCAGGGCACGAGGCATCTCTTTGTCTGCGTGTGCATGGCGAGGTTGGGGTTCGCCTGGAGCATGAAAGAGTAAAATGTGGTGCTGACGTGGCCATGCTCGGTCTCCTGATTAGCTGGGGGCCTGCTGCGATAGCTGCACTGTCAGTGACCTCGTGCTGGGCTTACCGTGCACACCGGCTCCGGTCCAGACCTGCTCATTCATCACACAATCCCTTTTTCTTCACCTAGCATCACTATCCCTCATTTTGTCATGTCTGAACAAACAAGCTGAGACACAAATTGGTGAGGATATTTTGGTGGGGTTGAAAAAGGAAGGAAGTCGAGTAATGAAAAAGAACAGTACCAGTGCATCTGGTCATCATTGATTTGAGGAATAATCCTTTTTTTCCCCGTTATTGCAGAAGGAAAAGTTGTACCGTATACATCAGGGACCACAATTACCATGGGAGGAAGCTCGTGTTTTTCCTTTTTTAAATGCCTCTAATTAGCCTTGGTAAACGGTAATCACCAGCCAAATCTCCCTGCATCTGTGTGACAATCGGATTTCTCCCACCCTGCAGCCATCCAGCGTGTGGAACACTGCAGCCCAAGAGAGAACAAATACGGGAATAAAGATTGAAAAGGCATTGTACGCGGTGTTCATTGCGTAGTGGTGGGCATCCAACGAAACCTGAAAGCCGCCAGCCTCATGCAAAATGCTAATTAGAAAGGGGCAAGAAGCCCACTGCAATCTTTTGTCCAGATCCAGATATTGAATATCATTTAGCATCAGGCTGAATATAAGAATCATTTTGGTCAAGATTATGGATAATAGGATTTTATCTTTTCATTACTTTCTGATGCTTTTTTGCCCTAATGTTGCTCTGCAGTATTTCACCAACTCATTAGAACATGATGAAATCTCCTGATAATGAATCTTATTCTTTTTTGTTTGTTTTTCCTTGTTCGTATTCTCCCGTACCATCACGATGCCCCTCCAAGAATAGGTGAGGCTATTCATGACACATCATTTCCGTTTCCGAGACATGTAATGGCTTTTTTCCCCCTTGTGACTCTTTTTCTCGGGTTATCACACCATCAGCTCCCCTCGCTGTGTATACATCAACCCCGGGTGTCAGTTAACCCTTTCCCGCCCTCCCCTGCTGTACGCTATGTCTTGAGCTATATTATCTCAAGCACTCTAAGTGCACACGTTTGTGCCATAAATGAATAGTTTGTTCAACTTGCTGAGAGTTAGTCAGCTTTGCATCAAGACTGGAACAATCAACGTCAGTAGTAAAACATATATAAGTTCATCTGTAGCTTCATATTTAACCTAAAGAGAAAGAAAGCTAATACACATATTATCCAGAAATACAGGGCATGTCTTACTTATCGGGGTTAAATCCCTCCAGTTCCTCCAGGAATACATGGCTGTTGGTGACGGTGTTGTCCTGGTTGGGCATGATAAGGAACTTGAGGATCGTCCCTCTGTTCGATCCGAGGAACACGACGGTCTGGTTTCTGTGAGGCCCGGCTTCTGTATCCACCACGATCTTATTCAGCTGGTATCTGCAGAGACGGAGCAGCGCTGTGACGCTCATTGTGACTGACTTTTCTCACGTAAAAGATAAAAACATATCGTCAAACCGTTGTAAGAAGCACATTTATGATTGTGCAACAAGTTTGAGGTGCTATTCTCTCTTGAGTCCCTGCAAAAATTTAATTAATTCCATATAGAAGAAAATGCTTATCACATTTGCATAATAAACTAATTAGAGCAGACGTTGAGTCATTAATAATATCAGTCAAGTAAATGTGCCGTTCTTGAAACAACAGCAGAGTGTTGCTGAAGCACACAGTCCTGTGTGCACGGGACAATACACGACAAAAGAAGCCGCGTTGTGCCGCCTGTTCAATATTCCGCATACATCTCGTCCCCATGTGGTAGACGGCGGAGAGAAGGGGAGGTGGACAGACGGAGAGAGAGGCATGCATGCATTGATGTGGGACTCGATGTGCTGCTGCTGCTGCTGCTGCCAGAGGCTTTAACACCGAACCAGTTTACCTGCAGCAGACAAGAGTTCACAGACAAAGACTGGCCGTGCAAACTGAAGATCCTTGAGGAACAGATATGTACACTTAACCCATTTTCTAGGGTGTCCTGGTTAGAAATTGTTAGTCAACTAACACTGATTAAATAGTTGATTAAAGAGACAGATCCGTAAAAAGAATTACGCAAAAGTGGCTTTTTAAGCGGATTTCTTTGCAGCGATATGATCAAAAAAATAAGTCCAATGAAACCAAAACGACCAATTCTTACACTAATGGACCAAAATGGGTCAGCCCTTCTAATTGAGACAAATTACAATTGATTCCAGAATTGATATAATTATTAACTCAATGTACTTCTGAGTCCTCAGTTTTCCCATCAAATTAAACACATTTCGATCGTTTGATAGTTAAAATTGCTAAATATGACTTGATGGAGACGTAATTGCTGCCTGGATTGCGTTCAAACATAACAACGTTTAGTGGTGAATGGAAGTCACTTAGAGGTGGTCAGGGTGGATGGTTGGCATAAATTCCATCAGCGTAAGGAAAATATCACGGTTTCTGTCACAGTAAATGTTAATAAAATAAATCACCCCTCTGTCGTGGCATTAAGTCACTTTTGACTTGACGATAAATCGGTCACCAAGGCTGCAATTTTCCCCTAACCTTAAGAAACCTAAAAATAAGTATGAAAAAACACTAATAGTACATCGCAGTTTCACATCGCAACCTGAGGAAAATAATACTGTTCTTTTGCAAATACTTTCCTTGTCTCCTAGTAACACCGGGTTGGTGACCGACTGCCCCTTAATATCCGAGTTACGTCTCACCTGACCATGGTTCTGACAATCCAGGGCCTCCGTCCGAGCGACGGGACAGCCTCATCCATCAGAGGGTGGGTCTTGACGAAGTTGAGCATCTCATCGGGGAATGAGTTCGAGGAATTAAACCTGGAGCCTTGAACAGCACAGCCGCCGGGTCTGGGGCGAACAAGTTTCAGCACGCGTCAGAAGATAGTTATGATATGAGGATGTCGAGTAGTCTAGAACGTCTGAATTTGAGGCATTCAGACACAAAGCACTTTATCAACAAGACATTGTCTTGATTTTAGTTGAAAGAAATTCGTACTTGAAGTATTGTGAAGTGATGGAACATTTGCATCAGATGTTTGAGGAGACGTCGTATCCTTGTGAAAAAACAAATCTCCCTTCTCCCTAAGATGTAATATTCACAAGCACCTAGAGGCTCAATATCATATCATGTTTGCAATCTTCCTTCGTTCTACATTACATTTGCGTATAATCAGCTTTAATCACCTTGTAAATAAAACCTTCTAGAAAATGCCCTTGAGTATTATTTAAAGTATTGTTGCTTGCTTTGCTTTTGTTATGAAATGCAATCCGGAAACCTGCAAACGCAAACCTCTCTGCAACAAACAATGATGGAATGACGATAACAGCCTGAATCCTGATGCATTCATTGATTACAGCCATCTGTACCTCGGCTTTGGGATGACTTCATCTGGAACAGGCGTCCAAATGGACTCGGGGGATTTCTGCTCCTTGAATCTCCCTTCGAACGCTCCGGCCAGCTGCTCCATGTCGAAGGCACACACCGCCGAACCGGGGATGCTATAGAGAGAGAGGTGAGGCAGAGAGGTGAGGCAGAGAGGTGAGGCAGAGCCCGTTTGATGAACTGATGAAACTCTTTGAACTGGCACGAGATGATCAAGTGGGATTTACGCTCCGACAGAAAGTGCAGAAAGAATAAGCGTCGTGACAAGAAAAGGCGAGGTGGATAATACCGTGAAGGTGTGAAAAGGAGAGCAGTTAAAATGCATAAAGTCGATTGTGAACGTGAGAAAGGGAAAGGCTCCCTGGGGAGATGACAAATTGGATTTGGGCCGTCCATTTATTTGATATTCAGAATTTGACCACAAAGGAAAGTGTTACTGAGACGAGGAGAGAGAACGGAGGAGATAGACGCTGTCATCTCCGTGGGCGAAGAATAGACGCAACAGCTCCATCCGACACACTAAAAGATCTTGGCTGGAATTCCTGGAATATAAAACGAAATGGGAAATGACTCACTGAATATTTTTGTGTGTGTGTGTGCGTGCTGGTGGGGGAGTGATTGAGGGGGGCTGATTCTTGTAAACCTAACAGCACATTGCAGGAAAAAGCCTGGTGCACTTCGGAGGGTGTTTAACTACTCGTGAACTCGGCAACCGGGAACAGAACATCTGCTCAAGAAGGTGTCCATAGCTCTGACACACACACACACACACAAAGTTACACTATCTCCTTTTTGAGCCTGATTTTGTGTGTTTTGGCTGGAGAAAGCACTACAGAGACAGAGATAATAAAGAGAGTCAGGGAATGAATGAGGAATGAATTTGAGACTGAACTCTGCTCCGGATGCGTCCTCCTCGATGACTAATAGCGTGCGTGGACGGAGCGTTAGAGACTAAGTGCTAATGCGTCACGAAACGTATTGAGAAGAACCTGAGAGGCTGAGTAACCTGCAACCTGCTGCTAAGAAAAAAAATAAAGACACACACCGGCCTGGAGCCTTTCCCTTTCTTCTTCACGAAAAATAAACGGTCAACCGGTGGCTCGGGGGTCCGTGCAGCCGGCCGCCGTGGTTCTGAGTGGTGATTCTGTCGAGTGGCTCTTTGAAAGCCGCGGAAGGGTTGGTTTGAGAGGCCAGCGCCCAGAGGCTTTCATTTTGGTTGCAGCAGGGGGGCCGCGTCTCTCCCGATGCGCCATTTGATCGGGTCACGCCGGCTCCCTCAGGACTTCATCATTCACAGGCAGGGGGGCGAATCCCCCCCCCCCAGCGCGGCGGAGCTGCAGGCGTTATCCGCAGACAATACGATGCCTCTCTCAGGACCACCGGCACCAGATGTTGCGTGTGACAGGTGGGCCAGCTTTGCCCGGCTTCTTTTCTCTGCCTCATCCAAACGGCTGCAGGTCACCGGGTTTCCCCCTTGTGGGGCCACAAAGGCCTCAGGCTGCGTTTCCTTATTACGTTTTCCTTAAGTTTCCTTATTATTTTCATTTTCACGATGAAACAGCGTCTCCCACTCGTCATCTAGTCCATATGCGTTTTCTACTTTTTGAATCTTTCTTTTCTTTCCCCTTTCTCCGTCTCCACTAGGGTCGAGTGACAGGCCGTCCAAGCAAGATGCGTAGCGTGTCCGTTTGAGAGGACTGCTGCAGAGTCTACTTCCTCGGTGTTTAACGAGCTCTCGGGGAACTTGGAATAACACAGGCGGTCCTCACGGAGACGTGACGATGAGACGAGGAGGGTGAAGTTTTAATCTCGATCCTTTAAGTAGGGGTTTGACTCTGTAACCATCGTAGAGAGTTTACATTTCACACACATTGTAAATATGAAAGTAAATCCCTTGTGAAATGTGGTATTAATTCACCACATGGGAGCTGCATCATTTCTGTTCAGATGTTCATAGATTCTGCGGAAGGGTTTGTTTAAAGGTCAGAAATCGAACACACTGTTTTTTTTATCTTATCTTTCACCGTCTTCGTTTTTTTTTTCAGTCTTTTGCGTTTTATTTATTGAATTGATTAACTTCACCTTTACTTCAACCACATTTTTACAAATAAATGTTTTTATTCAGCAACATCTGGGTTGGCCGCCATGATGGAATGAACTAATGACCTTTAATACAATCAACCAGAAATGTGTTTCATTTGTTCAGTAATACAGGACTCCACTGAGATATTAAAATACTTTTTCTCTACACCTCTTGAACTTCATTAAAATTATTTTAAATATTATTCCGTCAACTTTACTTTCATTTTATCCTCCCAGAAATCTTTCCCATGCTTCTTTTTTTTTCGTGGGTGTTCAAGCAACCTAATTCTTGCGTCCTTTTCCCTGGCCTTTCCCCGTCGGGTCCCAATGGGGACAATCACTCTCTCTGCAGACTATTCAGGCCTATGAGGGCTACTGGAAGTCTCTGTACATGGTGACTCCGCTCTGCTGTCAACTACAGGCGGAGCTCCTCTCCCAGACCCATTTCTCCAGCGCTAACCATGTATCCCTCCTCTGCTTGTGCAGCCCCGGGGGGGGAACATAGCTTGCATATCTCTGTCCCCGGTGTCCCACTTCCAAGTAAACCCTGTTCTCCTCCAGCTCCCCATCCTCCTCATTTCCCATCCCCTGCCGCGTTTCCCAGAGGGACATCCTGATGTCTGACCCAGTCACATGGGGTTCTTTACAGCCAAAACCAAACACGGCCTGCTTCCCTCAGGATGCACCACATTTACTCTGCTTTGCATGGGATGTTTTCCCTGCAATCAAGCGTGGCTCCATTAAGCGTAATGAGCCAATGTTAGTCTGCTCCAGCAGCAACAGACATGTTCAGCTGCCAAAACAACAGCTAAGAAATAATGACTGGTGTTTTTATTTTTCGGTACCAGGCCGTCCAGCGCAGCATGATTCCAGCCTTCCGTTTGACATCTTGCCGCTTCTCTTCCGATGGAAGTATTTTTCTTTTCTCCCCGATGGTTTCCTATTTTTATTCTCCCTTTTTGCCGTTCCTCCCCGGGCCTCCATGACCTCCCGAGCATCAGGAGAGTGGGTGCAGGGGGTCCTTATTAGGAAATCCGAGCCCGTCTTTCATCGCTATTGGAAAGGATGGGCCTGGGGCTTCACAGATGCACAAAGGATCTGAATAGTGGAGGCGATCTGGAAGTCAAGAATGAAGGATCCCACAAAAGCAACTCCATAATGTTTGAGGAGTTGACATGCGGCTGTAAATTATGCCCGGAGAATGTGGGCACCGAGGGGGAGACGAGCAACTTCATAGTCCAGGGGACGCTCCGGGAGGGCCCAGTTAAACTTTGGATTTCATCCGTTTATTCCCATACTAATGCCCCTCTTATGGGCCAAATGGCAGGAGAGAATAGCTCTTCCTCCACTCCCAGGTCCTGCTTCATGCTGTTTCTCGCTGCAAGCCGCCAGCCACAGCAATTTGTCCGGCGAGCAGTGAGCCGGTGGGCCGCGGTGGGCCGCGCGAGGCCAGCGGGAGTTTTGCAGCTTCACCTCACACACATTCTCTCCTTCCCTTTGTGTTCACTTTCCTCCATCACGCGTCTCCTTATCCATCCATCTAGAACCTTTGTCTCTCTCCTGCCTGGCGGTTATTCAAAACAGGACAAAGTGGTAGTTTACCCGAGCAGGAGTGTGTGTGCGCGCATGTGTGTGTGTGTGTGTATTCAGCTGGTTCTCCTTGGTGGCACGCCGCATATTCTGGGAGCCGTTGTAGGTGTGTTTGTGCACGTGTGTGTTTGTGTATGAGGGAGGGAGTCTGTGTATGTGTCTCTGCGGGCCGTGGCTCCGTCTCGCAGCGTAGTCCTTCCAAACGCACCGATAAGATGCAGCTGATGAAACAGTTTTAGATCTCAGGCGGAGCGAGCGGGTGCACGTGTTGTACGTTATTGACTTCCTCGTCCTTGAGCTCCACATCCTTCTCTCCCCCTCGTGTCTGCTGCTTCCCTCTTAATTCTGTTTATCTCCTTTTGCATTCACTCCTTTTCCCCCTCTTCTCCTCTGTCTCTCTCGTCTATTACCGGGAGACCACAACTTTGAGACACCGTCCTGCGACTGGTACAGCACTTTATTCTTAAAATAATAGAGGCCATTATACTGGGAGCACTTTCAGATGATTACTGTGCCGCCGGCTGCGTTTAAGTGAGCCACTGTATTGATTCCAGACCAGGAGTCGAAAGATCAGGCGTGTGTTCCTGCGTGTTTGCGTCAATGTCGTGGCCCTACCAGACGCTACGACGGCCGCGCAGACGCTTTAATACGGAATCATTCTCTTTCATTTGAGCCACATGGACTTTTGGTCATTTGTACTGTACATACGACCTCCTTCTCCCTGTTGTTCCCGTCTTTCCGCCTCGCCGTTTGTGTTGTCGTATGGATGAGCAAATAGCGACAGTCTTCAGTAATCCCCCATTTACCACCAAGCATGCCTCCTCTCCTCCGCTCGCAGCTTTTTCCGATTCAATCTCGTCTTTCAACAAATCACCCTTTTGTCCTCGATGAAAGCGCCGCATGTGTCTTAAATTACTGCGTGCGCCACAGTCTTGACCTTTGTACCTCCGCACGGCTCCTTTCATTTCTCTGGAGCTTTGCTTGGCCTGCAGGAGGCCTTGCTCTCTTCGACTTCATACGTGATGGAACAAACTGGTGGTCCGGTAAATTTCCAAGGCGAGCCGCGTAAGTGCCGCTTCCCACCGGGTGTCTATACGCACAGGAAGTGTGTCTGCCTGCCGTGTATTTCTTGAAAAGATTGAATGTGCTCTTGTCTTTCGAGAGAGGATTTAGATTGAAATCCTTCCGCTGGAGCCCTCGAAGTCGCGCACACACACACACACACACACAAATAGGGCTGACTATTGATCTGGAGTTGTGATTGCCGACCAGGTTCTGCACGTGGAAATATTGTGTAGCAATTTGAAAAAAAAACAGACAAATGTGTCCTCACAATAAAAGGACAGTTCACCCCAAACTTCAAATATTTCCTCTTACCTGTGGGGCTATTTATCTAGATTGTTTAGGTACGAGTGTGCTAGTTTAGGAGACATCCGCAGTAGAGACGTCTGCGTTCTCTCGACTATAATGAGGATACTGAACAGCAATGTCTCTTCGAGAAAATCACTTCTTGGCAGATAATCCACAGATTTCGGGGTGAGTAGTGTCGTGTAGGAAGTATTGTTGAAAGAAATAGCTAAAAGCAACCGAACATGATGTTGAAAAGTTATAAACAACTGGCTAAAGATAATGAATAAATGCTGATTTAATGCTTAAAGTAGTTGGCTGGTGCTTTGTACCTGTTTGCCGGCGTGGAGAACACCCCCAGGATGATGTCCCTGCCGTGCATCCTGATGACGGGGCTGGTGGAGTGGAGCAGGTTGAAGTAGAAGTGGGAATCCCCGGGGACGGAGCAGTTCAGGCGGGCCTTCAGGAACGACGTCCACTGCTTCTCCAGGACGCGCTGAGACCCCCCCAGGTCGCGCTTGCACACCCGCGCCACGCGTGACACCACCACCTGCGAGGTGCCGGTCAGGCACGGAGAGGCAGACGAGGGGGGCGGGAAATGACTAAAATCCCGTTGCAGTAGTGCGACAGGTGCATCTCATAGCTCACACAGAGCAGGCGGGTTTCCTCTTGTGCATATTTAAAAGGTGCTTTCAGTGTCGGGTCGGGGGTAAGCCCGGTTAGACGCATCATTGTTTTATAAAGGTAAATCTATCTAATCACTTATTCATCAAATTGTCAGCGCATGTTAAATGTGCCTCTTTGAACATTCTCATCAATCCGACAGTGATGCTTTTTATTCTTTAACAAGCACCGGGGATTGCTAATTCATCAGGAAAGATCCCAAAGCTGAGCCCAGGTATCCCCCGCTCTGGTAAAAAGGTCTTTTCTCAGGTTAGAAGGGACATTAATTGTTTACTCAGACTGTTATTTGTTGGATTAAATATGCATTAAATATGCAAACAAACAGATCCAAGGATGAAAGGTCAGCGTGACTGTGGGAAAAGAGTTTGTATTGACATTCAAATAATAGCAGCGGGGAGATATTAATGCGCCATCTGCTTCGTACGCTGTCAACCGCACGTCCTCCACGGTCCATTTTAACGATCGATGTGTAAATACCGACAGAGGCGACGACTTCTATACCTTCTCCAGGTAGTTGAACTCCATTGCTATCTCTCTGAAGAAGAAGTAGATGTGAGGCCCCCACTCAACAGCGCTGACGAAATACGGCTCTACAATGTGAGAGGGAGGGAAAGAAGAAGGGGAAGAGGTCTAATGAAATCAAGACGGACCTTGAGAAAGCACACAGCGAGACACTGTCTCCATTTGGAAAGGCATCACTCACTCCCACGCCGCCGAGGTACCGCGAGGGCAGCGGGAAAGAGGCACGGGCCGCGCGTAATTTCATTACGTGGTGAGAGGGGACTTCACACCGAACAATAAGCGCATTATGACTCCCCGATGTTTCTGAGAACTCGGTGTCACGCTACGCATTCCGGCGCCATCGCACCCGGGGGCCCGGCCCGGGCCCGCGACCCGCTCTCGTCTCCCGCCTCCCGCCGCCGTCCCGTTGTCGTGGCCGGCGGATTTCACCTTAATGTGAAATTTATTTTGTTTGGTTCTGGCAGCTTCTTGGGCCACTGACCCTGGACGTGCGCGTTGTCAGGGCGCCGCTGACTCAGCGCTGTGCTGAGGACACGCGTATCGATCCGCTAAGTGATGAGGACACACACTGTAAAACAGGCCAGGGCCGCACGCACACACACACGTCACTTTTGGTACCTCTGAACCACTTGGAGTCGTGCTTGACGGTGCGCAGGGCGGGACTGTCCCCGAGGCTGCGGTAGATCACGGCGTCGATGGCCAGGAAGTCCGTCACCGTGGCGGTAAACAGATTTCCCTCTGACAAACACGGGCAGAGACGCTGGTTAATAGAAGAGCCCGCCAAGGACACAGCAGAACTACAAACAGTGGAGCTGGCGCCAACGTTTTTCATGAAAGTCCTCCAGCATCAAACACGCAGACATTTACAGGCCAGTCAACAGCGTAATTGCAGCGGCGTGATTGCAACTTCGCAGCCCTCCCACGTACGAAAAAACGACATTTTACTTTGAGCTAATATCTGATAATGGTGAGATGGCTGAACGGTAATGGCTCCCCACAGTTTCCGCCACAGATCACGGTTGATTATAATATAGTGTTTAAATATCAGGAAGTAAACAAAGCTGACGAATAAAAATGAAAGAATTGCTCCCGTGTGTTTAACCGCTGTTTAGGGAACTGAAGAGCGACGTCCGTCGTACCTGCAAAACGAGCCACGTTTGCATGTTTGGGGTCGTAGGGGCACCTCGCCATGCCGCTGACCGCGTCTCCGACCATCTCCAGAGTGTCTCCCTGTTACAGCGCGCACATGTGGACACACACACACAGATGTGCGCATCAATCAGCAAACAATGCGAACACATCTCCAGCAGCATTATAAAAACAAGCCCCAAAGAGGAAGACAATTAGGGAGTGTTACCGTAAGTGCAGACTAATGATTCACTGGTGCCAATTAGGGACAGCAACAACAACAACAACAAGAGTCACATTCTCATGCATAAATAAAACGCATGCACGCACGCGCACACACACAGACACACATACAAGCATGCATGAATACACTGTGAAGTTGTTCTGCATATCTCTCTCTCTCTCTCTCTCTCTAGACTTGAAAGGCAACCAAACGCAAACAATTTCAACAGCGCAGTCCAATCCGCGGCTGAAAAGGTGTCATTTCATTAAAAAGCAGCTATAAATAAAACAGTAGCTAGCATCGCTAACTAGTCCCCGGAGAAACAGACAGCCTTTCACGGAGAGACAGGTGTGTTATACACTGTTGTGGAGTGTCATTAGTGGCTGACAGATAATGGGCCAGGTACGTCTTTGAAATGCGAGCGAGCGAAAATAACACTTATCTGAAGAAGCGTTTGGTGGAGGGAGGACTTTTTCATCCTCGCTATCTCTCCCTCTCGTTTATCTTCCTGCCTTCGTTGCTAATTTAATATTCCCGCGGAATGAAGTGAGATCATCCGAATCAACGATTCATATTCATGTGTCGCTTTTCTCAACTTTTAAAAATGGTTACTGTGATGCAGCGAGAGAGGAAAGTGGCCCGAACGAGGAGTTCAGGTGAGCCGAAGGGACACAAACCTTCAGACTACGATCAATATGCTTTGGACGCGGTGGAGGAAACATTTTAGAGGACTGATGGTTCGAATCACGGCAGCCGGCTCTTACATCTGTAGCTTGAACCCCCCCCGTGTGTCTCTCCAGCTTTCTAAATCACCGGCGAAAGAAATCCAACCGGGCAGAAGAAGTCACGCCGCTCCTCCTCCTCCTCCTCCTCCTCCTCTAACCTCTCTGTGTTCTTCTTGATTATCCGTCTCACGACTCTCGCCGCTAACAGGCGCAGCGGACCGCGAAGCCACACCGCGGAGAAATAACAATTGCGTCTCAGGGAAACAAGGATGAACAAGTCGTCGACGCCGCCTCGGCAGCTCCGATCAAGCTGTACACTTTCACCCGAACAGGCGAAACCGATTGGGTTTTTAGAACGCGAGGCCTCCGTTTACTGAGGAAGAACAGATGAGGCGTCCAGTCGGATAACTTACAGTGTAGTTGGCACACAGCGGGTTGAAGGCGTTGGTCCCGCACACAAACAGGCCTCCTTGTCTGCTGAGCAGCACCTTCATGAAATTACGGCATTCGTCCTGCGGGAGAAGGGAGGCACAAAGAGAGCGGCTGCTCAAATACGCAGGAGGGGTGAGAGTGATGAATAAAGACAAAATGACGGAGTGAATGGAGGGGGGAAAAAGGGAAAGTTTATTTTTCAGTGATTATCCCAAAAAACGCTGGGTGATTTGAAGCTTCTCGGTCGCCCGGATTATCAGACCATTGACGCCGTCAATCACACTGAAACAGGCTGAGCGGAGCCTGCAGAGGCTTCGACTGTCTCCCCCCCCTTCACCCAATGCAAACACACACGCCGCTGATTGACGGACGGTAATCTAAACCAGCTCCAGGGTTCTTTTTTCTTTCAAACAAGCGGCAGATTTAAGGCTAATTTCTCTACCGCGAGACGTCCGACTACATGAAGCCCGGCTAATGACTAAGCACTCGGCTTCATTCTCCCTCGCCTTTTCTTTGAGATGAAAGTCGTGTAAGCACCACATGACTTAATAGCCGCTTTAGCTCCACGGCGCCAAAAAAGTAATAAATGTCGGTGTGGGGAAACTGAGAAGAAATGACTTTCAAGTTAAGCCGCTGCCTCGACAGGAGTACAGTCAGTGTGTTTATGGTAGAAATGATTAAACACGTGTGACCTGATGAACACTTTACACGCCTGTTAAGATCACATAATACAGAAAATGCAGAAAGTCTAAACTTTTAGTTTAGACTTAAGTGCTCGCTGTCGTACAGTTTTTTTGTATGTCTCTTAGAAAATATTTGTTTCCAAAATGTTTTAATAATATGTCTATTAAATCTATTGATTTGTAGAACTTTCCAACTTTATGGGGTAATTTTAAAAGGAGAAAAAGAAAAACAATATGGAATGAAAACAACACAATACGGGTAATCAAAGTTGTTGTTGTGCGTGTGTGTGTGTGTGTGTGTGTGTGTGTGTGTGTGTGGAGAGAGGGGCGATGTACAGTTCTGTTAGATCACTGGTGGACAGCAGCCAGCAACCCCCCCAAACTACAAGTGTCCCAGCCAGGATGGCACCAGAACTGCCACAGACACACACACACACACACACACACACGCACACACACACACACACACACACACACACACATACCAGATGGATTCTACTTCAAGACCACCGCTCACACTGATCTCATCGGAAAGAGGAGTAGTGCTGGAGCAGGAGCGGTGGTGGTGATAGCGGGTATGTGAAATGAAAGTGTGTGTACGTGAGTGTGCGTTTGTGCGTTTGGGAGAGATCAGAGGGGAAGCAGCGATATGAGAGACGGGTGAGTGTTATTCCAGATGCTCCAACCACAACAATCCTGCTCCTCCATCTCCCGACTTTGCTCTCTGCTGGGATCTCAATTTTCAAATGCAAAAGGATTCTGTGAGTGTAAAGAGTGTGTGTGTGTGTGTGAGTGTGTGTGTGTGTTGGGGTGTAGGGTGTGTGTCAAGTGTGAGGTGTAAATTTCTAATGGCGCAGTGCTGTGTGACAAATTGTGGTGAGGCGCTGACAGCATAGGTGTGTGTGTGTGTGTGTGTCACGCCTGCACATACTCCGTGTGTTCATGTGTGCCGGCTGCATTCATGTGTGTGTGTGCGTGTGTGTGTGTGTGTATTATTTGCATGCTGTTGCGTTCTGTCAGCTTGGTCGGAGCTGTAATCACAAAGCCAGATGAAGCACTCTTAATAACAACCCGGTCCAACTGCCAGCCTGCGGGAGCGGGCGGTGAAAAGCGCTTCCCAGAGCCAAACCCCTGCACCAACGTGCGCGTTTGGCCCTGATTGTACATAGAAAATAAAACATTTCATGACCGGATATTTCAAATATTGAATTGCGATTGCCAGGGGCGTATTACAGACATCCCCCGCTGCATACGGACTTTTCATTAACCCGTATTCATCTTTTCCAGGAAGCAATTTGCCTCTTCCAGGTAAGGGGCTTTTTTTTTAAGAATTCAAAGTCAGATTTAGTCAACAGGACCGGGGATTTACAACGGTTTCCACGTTAAAAAACAAAACCAATTACAAAGGATCAAGTTCTGAATCACATAATTAAACAATTAATTTTAAATCCAAATGTTGTAAGTCCTGGCTGCTCCTTCTTCTTCCCTCTGCCTCCTTCCCTCGCTCCGCTCCCTCGCTCCCTGGGCGGAATCCAGACAAAACGCCACCTGTGCCGCCTGGCAAGCCTCCCCATCACCCAGATGACTGCAGCCCTCCTCCTCCTCCTCCACCACCACCTCCTCCACCTCCTCTCACTGTGCCAGTGGCAGAGCTGCTCTTAGAAATTAATCTGCAGCACAGATGAATTACACAGGAGTGGACGTGGTTGTGAATGGGGGGAAGATTGGAAGAGGAGAGGAGAGAGAGAGAGAGAGGAGAGGGGAGATCGTGAGCAACATCGCTTAAAAAAAAGTAGACGCTGCGCATGCAGACGGTTTTTAAATCTCGCTGCCGCGGTCGGCTCTCCTCTGCAGATGTCGGGCCTGAGTGCGTGCACGGCAAAGGCCGAGACATTTTCCATGGACACAGAACGATGAACGCAAGCGAGCACGGAGGGAGGAGGGGGGGGGGTCGGCAGCGAGTTCCTCCATCGTTGCTACAACACGTCTGCTCAAAACAACCCGCAGCAGTCAGACGCCATTAAAAAACGGGGGAAGCTCCGACATTCTGCATCTGCTTTTCATCTGTTATCTGGAACTTAACCTCCCGATGAACAAGGCTTTCCACTCGGCCTCGGCCCCGGGTTCCATGTCAGCGCTGATGTTGCGGCTTTATCCGAAAAACCTTAAACTCACGCGAGTTTTACCGCCGGCTACAATCAGCAATCACCCCCCCCCCCCTCCCCTCCCTTCGTTTCGTCTAACCAAAACACAAAACAGGTGCACACGTCGTAAAATCCTCCTGTTTCCAGAGAAACCCACAGCATCGTTCGTGCTCTCGTAAAACGACTTAAACAATCACAATGACCTGTTTCAGCAACGATGGTGCAAAAGGAGCCATCTAAGGCTCGTATTTAGCAAGCTGCTCTTCTAAATCGCAAAAGTTTCCATTACATGCCTGGCTGATCCCCTGATGTTAGCGACCAGGGAGAAGAGAGCATTGCTCTGCCAAAGAGCCGCCATCAAGCCAGAACACACACACACACACACACACACACACACACACAGGGAGTTTGGCGAGCGCTCGTCTTCACTCATTAACAACTGGCTCGTCATTCCCCGAAAAAATCCCTGACGCACAATTGCGGGGGAAAACAGAGTGACGCGGCAGGAAGCGAGGGGGTGGTGTGCGTTGTAGGCGGCGGGTGAATTAGCGGCGGCACCAAATTAGCAGCAATGTACGTTTCATCGCGCCGCGGCGTTACTCGGCGCGTTAAAAGTTAATCCGCATCGCCTCGGTTTGACGGTAATTCTGAGCGAAACCCACCACGGGCCACGAAAAAAAACATCGCACGCCAGAGGGAGGGAGCAGGGGAGCCGGTGTGAGATAATGGAGATATGAGGAGAAAATAAAAGAGAAGGGCAGGAGGGGGGAGGAAGGAGGGAAAGAAAGGAGGAAACAGGAGACCCGGAGTTTTTTCCAGGCCGGTTCAGCCATGAGGCAGCCTCGGCTCCCCGGTGGAAAAACACACACATGCACACACGCACACGTACATGTCACTCAACACTTAACCCGGATGACCCCGGGAAAGGCTCTCGGCTGGACGACACGCCGGGAAAAAGGCGGCTAATTGTCACCATGTGATTAATACGTGTCGCGTTGAATGGTTGCCATGGAGGAAAGAGGTTCTCCGCACGCGTTCTCTGATGAAGCGAGTTTATTTAACTTTTTACCCGGGCTGCGGGTGTCTCCCGAGTACCGATCCAATACCAGCGTTCCATTAACTGCGAGGAAGTGACTGCGGTCAGACCTTACACCTCAATGGCCCAGGTGTGGGGCGACTTTTATTCAAAGAATGAATGATATTAACAGTAAGACTTAAATAAGCACAAATAATTAACAGTAGACATGGCGCCAAGCAGCACCTAAAAGCCACAGAAAGACGATGGGTGCAGGACATATGGCGCACAAAAAAACAACATATGTGTGGTGTTTCGATACGATTCATTGGGGAAACTCGATCTTCTGACCGTCAAACCCAGAGGAGGCGTTTGGGTTGGACAAATGAAACCCCCCCGAGCTCCTCGGAGAGCAACATCAACGCAATATTGATGAAACAATCTGGCTAAGTGCTGCTCATGACGACGGCCGGCCGCTCTTTAAAAGCGCTCTATACGGAATTGCCTTTGTTTGCCCGCACATGCCACGCCGGCGCGGCCCGACGCGCTGGCACAGTGCCGCCCCCGGCGGGGGGGAACGTCTCACCCTCTACCTCTTGCTTTCAAAGGGAGAGAATGGGAAGGAGTGAAAATGGGGGGGGGGCATTGATTGAGAACAACATGAAAAGGGCAAGCACAGGAGGAGATAAAGAGACAGCAGAAAGGACAAAAGGGAAATATGGTGAGAATATGCAGAGGGAGTGACAGCGTGATGCCCGGCTGCTGCATTCATCAACATTCGTTTGGTCAACACGGGAGAAGAGAGGAGGTGAAAAAAAAAAAAAAAGAATTAGGGTATTGAATTTTCAGCCTAATTAGGGAGAATACTATGTCCTTTGTGATCAACCATGCAGAAGCATTTAATTAGAAAACCAATTACGAGGTGGTGAATGCATCACATCTGACACAGCCGTCCCCCAAGCAGAACGGGAACATTTTCAGGAGGAGTGGAGGAGGAGAAGAGGGGAAAGGGAGGCGACCCAGGGCGCCGGGAAGATGACTGCTGACAGATTTCATTTGATTTTTTAATTGTGTTCATGTAGGAGAGAGAGAAAGAGAGGGGAAGAGAGAGAGAGAGAGAGAGAGAGAGAGAGAGAGAGAGAGGATTTAATAAAAACTGCACTTGAAATGGTGAATATGTATGAACGTACATGAAGGTCGGTGACTACACGTCCACGTTGTGCGTATGCGTGCGTTTGAGTCTGAGGAATATCGATCTCTGGTTAAACATTCAGTTTCACCTTTGACGTGATGTGCAAAACAGCAACAGGTGACCTAATTGAATGCGTTTAGTGCAATAAAAAGAGAAGCTGGACTGCTATTGAGAGCATGATATCAAATTCACATCATTTGGTTGTAACAGTAAAAAAGAAACCTTTAATTGGGTCTGTTCTCAAGGCTTATGATCTTCTACGCTTTCAAGAAAACGCTTTTGAACGTATTTTGAATTGAGCACGATGCTTCTTGCTGAGAGCCACTGAATGTAAACTTTGTTTGGACCAAAACAGAATCTCTTTTAAATTTAGAATTTTTATTTTGGAGGTTGTAGCTGCTGCACAGCAGCACGTCGAATTGCGAAATGTCCATGTAGCTCCAACGTTTTGGAGTGTTATTTGGTAATGAAACTTTTTCAGTCACATATTAATCATACAGGCCTTCCGTTATTCATGGCGTGCAGTGTGTGTGTGTGTGTGTGTGTTCCCTCATGCCTGTGGGCTGACGGAGCTGACTGAGAGGACCTGGCTGTGTTCTTATCTCCCTCACATTGCCGTGTGATTCACCGGGCAGCCCACTCATTAGGGAGCAAGAAGACCTTTCATATCTCAGTCGGCCCCACAGCTCTCCTCTGGGCCGGCCAGCGCCCCTCCCCTCCCTCCCCTCCTCCCTCCCCCTCCTCCTCCTCCCCTTCTCTCGGCTGAGCTTTTTGTCTCCGTCCCTCTATTCTCCATTGTGGTTCTGTCTGGCACTGTCTCGCACAGATTTAATGTCAGGTGTTCTCACTGTTAAAAAGCCTTTTCTTTTCTCCTCTCTCTCTCTCTCTCTCTCTCCTTCGGGGCGAACGGAGCCCATGTTCCCCCCCCCGCCGGCCGTCACCACCGCGCTCGCCCCCGCACTATGAATACGGGCTGTTTCAGGGGGATGTGAGTGTGCGTGTGTTGGAGGTGTAAAAGGTGTTTAGGCGCGTGGGATGCTGGTGGCTGCCGGGACGTTTCCCCCCCCCCCACATCACTTCTTCCCTCCCACCTGGATTTACTGAGAGCGCAAGCCGCATTCCCCAGGTGATGTACAGGCAGGAGGGGCTGCGTTGTTTACGATTGATGTGTGTGTGTGTTGGATGAGCAGGGGACAATGAGGAGATAGGCAGTCATCCTCATGTGGAGGCTGAGCCGGCGGGCGCGACAGACAGATGACTGGCACAATGAAACCAGAGCTGCGGGCGGGAAAAGGGAAGACACGCGCCGCCATAACGTGCACAAGAAAGAGAGCCGACGCGCCGACGTCTCGCTCACCAAATGTCACCCGAGACATTTGATGTGGAATTCTTTTGAACATTGTCTTTGCTGCTGATAATTTGGGGGGTTTAATCAAAAACATCAGAAGGAGACGAGCGATTTAAGCTTTTTTTCGAGACTCCCAAATCAGAAAACTCCCGCTTCAAAAGAAAATGAGGAAATCAAATGAAATGCTTCACTTCAAATCAATAAGAATTTTAGAATTATAGATTAGTAATATTAAATAGTAAAAATAAAGGAATTTGAACCCTCATTCTACCAAAATATCAACACATAACAAACCAAGGAATAGAGACTAATAATATCTAAAAGTTAAAACTTAGAAACAATTTCTAATTTACTAACTATTAGCTGCATGCAATGGTTTTGGTGTCCGTCCAGGACCCCAATATATTGTTCACTGATTCTTTTATACCGATATTAACCTATTTTGGCTTGATTTTAAATGTCCTTGTATAAGATGTTTCTTTTACTCTTTATATTTTGATATGTTATGTATAACTGACGAATGGCCTTGTTGCTGAGTTTAATAATTTAGCTTTGCCTCGTTTTAACAAGAAAGAGAAGATAAAGCGAACTCCGTCTCACCTCGTGTTTGCCCTTCATCCTGCAGATCCTGATGTCATTCTTATTCGACTCCCACGTCCTTTTCTATACATAAAAACACACACACACATGCACTGCTTGTTAGCTACATTTGCATTTCTACCTCGTGCAAAATATCATTTCACGGCGAGTCATGCGTCCTCCTTGAGGTTGTGAATGCTGTGGGTGTCTGTCCAGAAGGTGCTCACCTTGCTGTAGAACATCTCGTCTCCTGCCACGATGTCCAGCTCCACGCGGAAAAGGTCATCCCTGCCGGGGGGAAGAGGAGGATAGAGAGAAGAGTGGCGGTCAGCCAGCACAGCTCTGGCCGAAGCTCAAGGTAAAGGAAAGACGCTGCACCAAGCGAACCACGGGCGCCAGTTCCAAGGCACGAGGTCCGCCCAGATATCAGCGCTCGCTCAGGACGGTGCACACTTTCTTTTGGATGAAATCCAGGCAACACGCTTAATAAAAAAATCGTATGAATATTTCTGCGATATATTAATTCAGTGCGGTTTTACAACTAAATAATTCCGCGCATACAGCTATAATACATAAATCTTAGAGACTTTTATTCGTTTATACTTGATCAGAGCCTCAGAGATTAGGAAACAGCTCTACAAAGTCTTATCTGCCATATCTGAATATATCTGAGAAACGGGTACCTGACTGCATAATAATCTCTTGTATTTCTCTTTTTGCTTCTTCTCATTAAACTCTACTTGCTGCATTAAGTTTGCTCCGAGGCGCCAAAATTCATCTTATCAGTCATATTTAAGCCTGAAATTGAATTATTGGATGATTTAATGAAGTTGTTATACTGATGCTTGCACGCCCCCACATGCTGCCTATACACGTGGTTCTGAAGCTAACAACATACATGTATTCATGAAGCTCTCTGTGCTCCTAATCTGCTGGTAATTCTGCACTAACCTTGGACGCTCCTGTCAAAAAAAGCAGCTAAGTGAGAGTCGAGCCAGGCAGCTGGTAACATCTAAAGAGCGCATATTGATCGAGGCCTTGCTATATCTGCTGGGACGGAGCGCGGGCTTCATTTCAGCAAAGGGCCGGCCTCTGAACTAATCTGTAAATCTGCCATAGGCGTGTTATTGCGGCAGCATCGATCGCGTCTCGGATCCGGCTTTGCCTCCCAGTGCTGCATATTTTATCGCTTTCTCCATTTCTTTTTTTTTTTTTTACTTTGACCGAGGCCGGGGTTATCACGTGTGCATCCACGCACAAGTACCTGCTCGTGTGATCATTCGCCCCGCCCTAAGTGCGCGCACCAACGCGCGTTTGCTATCTACCTTTTTTCACACAGCGGTGAGACCACAGGTAGGGCCCGGTGCCCCCGAGGTCGCCCCAGACCCTGAATAATTCATCCTCGCTTCCTGCTGGACGCTTTGCGGGCTACGCGGCGAAGAAGAAGCGCAAAATCACTAAAACACTCGCCGGGCGCGTCCCTGCTTAACGGGTCAGAGTTCAAGCGTCCTCCAAACAGCGGAGTGGGCCTAATCTCATCCAGGCTGTTTCAGCGTTGTCTCAGCATTAACGTAATGGATACAGCAACAGGCCTCCCGGTCAGGGTGGATGGCAGCCAGCGGCGTTGCCTGGGCAGAGGAGGGGGAGTTATTTATGCTGCTGCTTCTCCTGGACTCTCCTTCTCCCTCTGCAGCTCCCCTCCTGCGTATGAGGCTGTTTGAAGGATGCAAAGCCCGTTCGTTTTGGGTTTGTTTATGTGTGTGTTAGTGAATTTAATTACGTACGGCATGTGGTAGAGGGTCCAACATGTGAGCTGTGTAAAATGTCGTTATTCTTTATGTTGCTGGATGTGCGTGCAGCCATGAATAGGTCATAACTCCCAAAGGCGCCTCGACTCGCAAAGTTCGCCCCTTAAACCTACAAATCAAAAGTCTCCCATTTCTTTCTCTTGACTGGCCGAGTGTGTTCGTACGTGTGCGCAGGATGTGCGCGTGCCTGAGCTGTTATTTCACGAACGCCCCTGACCTTTTTCGACCGGGATAATACAAAGTCAACACCAGAAAGAGACAATATTTCCTAAATTTCTGACTTGACCAGCTGATGAACTTTCTCCTTTTGACCGCCCAAACAACAGCCGACTCGAGGCCAAGGCATAGCGAGCCTGTATTTCTTCTTCTTCCTGGTTTAGTGTGAGCAGGGTGAGCCTTTCCAAGTCTGCAAACACTGTGCAGGAAAAGCTGCTCCACTGGATGAAAATGAAATGGAAAGGTTTAGAGCTGACCGCCTGGTTTCGACTGAGGGAGAGGAGAATGTGGCGGGCCGGTGAGGGAGTTTGCATGATATTTGGGTGGCTGCATGCTTTATATGTGCAGGAGTGTAGAGGAGTGTCCGTGTCCTAGTTTAATACCACGTCCTTATTAGTAAATATGGTATTGCTCTCAAAACTAAAATAGTGAATAGAAAAACCAACCACTAAGATCCAAAAAGGAGCAAAAGGTTTAACTTCGTAAAAATACAACTATGTAGAAAGTCCTACAAAACAAAATTGTGAAAATTTGTGAAAAATTAAAAATATTATGCTATTTTGGTTTAATGTTATGACATGTAAACTGATAAATTGACTAAATATTCCAGACTTATTCTGAAAATGGTTGCCCTCCTCTTGTGACTCCTCATGCAGCTCTGTTCCTCACGCTGAATATCAAAATACCCACATGCATAGAAGAAAATGTAATAGGTTAAAGCGCGCAAACGTGTTAGTATGTTCTGAAGATCAGCCCCGAGTACATTGGAGCGTGTAAGCAGCGTGGTTTGTGTCCAGGTGGGTGACCCTCCACGCCTACCAGTCCTCGTCTGCATGCTAAACTTGCATCCCCAGCTGGCCGGTCTGCGCCGCAACTGAGCGCCTCCCCGTCCGTCTGCCACGAGGCGTTTAACCCGACTGTGACCGCCGCGTGAACCTTGGCGACCTCTGAGGTCGGCGTCCGCGCGCTAATAAACCACCGCCCTGGCGGTGTGTCTGCACACTTCCCCGCCTAATGCAAACACACACGCGTACGCGCGTCGAGCCAGATGGCAAAACCCTCTTACGCTTCATCGCCAATGGAACAGTTAATCAAGAGTTGGCTTCGTTCCTTCGGTCATCTTGTCAGTAGATAAACACTCTGCAATTGGTTTGTATTGGTGGGGATTAGCCCTTTGGATGCGTCTGAAGACCACGGGATCCACAGCTGCTCATCTGGGCAGCGATGAAATGGGGCTTAACACAGCAAGGCGCTTTATTCCACCCGCCACCAGCCAAACACACAGTTTACTTTCATTTAGCGAGGATGGGAAGAGGACAGGGAGAGGTAGCTGCTCTCAGCAGGTGCTTGGGGGCAGAGATTTAGCAGCACTTGCAGTCTGAGGAGCAGCTATGCTAATAGTGACAGGATTTGGGGATGAGCGAGGCGTCTTATCAGGCCGGGGCACTCTGCAGGAGCTTTTGGCCGTCGTACCTGGCGACACGCAGGTACTTATTTATATATAACACATTTTTAAAACTCATGTCTTGGCTCTGTCTCTGGCTCACAGCAGCATTTCGACAGATATCGGTGTCTTTTTCTGTCAGAAAGCTGCAAAAACGCTGCATACAAGAAATGTATAAATAAACTGTCTGTCTGTGAAACCCCCCCCCGCCCCTGCAGCTGTAAATGTAAAATGAACGTCTCTCAGACCCCTTAATGGCTCTAGTAGTATATACCTGCAGACTGTGCAAAGTTTCACTGTCAGGCCGTGTGCACGTGTGTGCTTATAGACCCTCTCAGTGCAGACAACATGGCTGGAGCCTTGTTGCACAGTTTGATATATTTACTACCAGCTTTGGGTGGTGAGGTTAGACGAGCTGGAGGCCGGGAACTGGGTCATTTCCTGGCCCACGGTGGCGTCTCTTGTCTAAACCTTTTCAGTCTTCTTCAGACTACCACTCCATCAGATAACCAGCACCTCATGTGGAACATTTGTGTTTCAAACTAAATACTTTTTTTGACAACAGCAGTAAATCTTGTGGGGGGGGGTTCTGTTGGTTCAGTCTGTTTCAGGTTGGCTCCTGGGGGGAGCAGACGTAGCTTTACATCGTAAACCCGGTGCAGCCGCGCAGGCCGTCCTTGTCTGTCCTCCAGACCACCGCGGCTTCTTTCTGTCCAGTATCAGCACATTCACCAGACTGACAGGCATCGTGTGGAGACCAGACCACAAAAATGTTAGCTAGTTACCAAAAATAACAGTATCTTTGTTCATGAATGTAATTACTTGTGGATTTTGGCGATGCCTGCAGAAAATAGGTTGTGTTTACGAACCCACGAGTCCCTTTAGAAAACATTTGATTATTTTACTGCAGCAGAGTCTGACAGTCCGCCAATTCCTGTCCCACATCTGGTTGTGCATTGCCTGCATTTCCTCCAACGGGGTCCGGCAACACGGCCGCGGCCTCCATCAGCAGCTCTGTTCCCGACCGGAGGAGCAGCTGGTCTCCGCATTCTGGTGAACCTGCATCATTTTGTCGGACTTTGCCAGGATCTGACCCGGTGGTATCGACGAGAGTCATTGAGTATAACTATATAGAAGAGCCGATCTTATTACCGACGGCATCTGTGTGCATAAGGACGAGAGGGTCATCCACTCGTTCCCAATCCCAAGCTCCTCCACTCTGCATGAGGATGTAGAAGTGTCCTTGGGCAAGATGCTTAACCCCAAAATTCCACAGAAAGCCGTGCCATCAGTGTGAAAATGTGTATATTTAAAACATTGCATTAATCTTGACGGGCAGGTGGCATCCTCTGCCATCACAATATGAATGTGTGTGTGAATATGAACGGTTTTGTGAAGCTCTTTGAGGGGTTGGGAGACCACATTACCAATACACTATACAAGTACAAGTCCACCCACCTTGTATACGGGTCACATAGAGGCCATCAGAATGACATTGAGAATGTTTCATAAGCGGTTAAAAGTTCCCAATAGTAACTTCAAACAGTCCAAAGCCGAAGCAGAACTAAGCCACAGCTGGATGCTGATTTATACATGTTGATCTGCTTACAGTTAGAATGCTGAAAGACTGACGCAAACGTTTGAAACGGTGCTATTATTGCATCCAACAAGGAGCAAATATCTCTAGCTGGAGTACTGATGGTCTGTTTTATCAGTACATTTAGATGTGATGCTCTGAACACTGTAACCCCTGAAATAATGTGCAATAAATGCAGTGCGTTGAAGCTAAAAAAAGGGCTCTTTTACTATTATTATTATATATGGAGGCAATCACCGGAATACAATGGTTGAAAGGGATGATTTCTCAAAGTGTATCCTCACTGTAGATAGAACGATAAATGGAGTTCATTCATTCAGCTTGTGTGTGTGCGAGCGTGCTGTACCTGGCTCCGATGTACAGTGTCCGGTTGACTTGGAGGATCCTCTGGATGTGAAGAGGCTCTTGCCTCAGCCAGGTCCGATGGGGTCGGCCCAGGAACACCGGGTGTCTTCTCACCACTGTCGGTGAATAAGAGACAGAGACGGATTACGGCTGATCAACAATCTGTCATTCATCTTCCCCGTCCCGCTAATGCGATTTTACACGTTGGTTTGTTTTGACAGTTCTGCAGCATTAACGGACATCCAAGGTGACGCGAGTTGGAGAACTGCATTTGCAGTAGCACCACATCTTCTGCATTAAGCATACAAAGACAGGGAGCAAAGCTCAGGCTCAGATCGGAAAATCCTCTATATTCATGAGTTTTCTTTTGTTGACAGGTTAGGACTCATTTTTGATAAATTGTTCATTTGCTTCTGCTTTTTGTTGACACGTTAGGTGAGACATGTTCTGCCGAGTGGTTCAGATGACTCAAGAGGAGGGACACGCGGGTGACATTTTCAAAATCATCAAAAAAGGTAAAACTAAAGATTCAAAGTGTCTCCAAGGACGAGGAAGGGAGACCTTAAGAGAGTGATTTCAAAGATAAAAGCGGAAAAAACATTGGCTTGACGTTGTCTCGCGGATGTGAAAAAATACAGAAATAAGACGATGAGACGAGCGGAAATCACACTTACATACAAATCATATGGATGGCGATCCATATCTGTCCTTCACCTTGACTGAGGTGAATGGCTGTACCACTATCCTCTCATCTTCTCTCTGCTCTTTCATCATTACCTCTTTAAATCCCACCCTCTTCGTGTTTTCTCCACTTATTCACCTTTAGGTCTTGAGTGCTTCTGCTGTATTTCTATCAAGCTTCTGCATTACAGCTTCTGCTGTAATGTCCACATCAATCCGTCCTGGGACCCACAGCGATTTGTTCTTTTCTCTCTCATTGTCCTTCACATTGTTCTATTTCAGTCCCTTTTCACACCTTCCTCTATTTGTCCTGTGTATTCTGCTTACGTTTGGACCCACGGTAAACATCAGCCACTGTGGTGCAGCGCTCAGCAGCCCGACAACCGCCAATCCCCGTTTGGTATCGATACGTCGGGAAAGCTTCTGGACTCGGCTGGGAAAGCGCCAATCGATGATATTGAACTGCAATCAATCAAGGTCGGGTCTGGGATGGAGACTCCGAGTCTGAGTGCGTTCCCAGCCGCGTCTCTCGAGGGTTTGAGTGTGCGCGTGGGAGAGTCACGAACGCCAGAGCCCCCCTTTCCTCATTCCGGAGTGCGACCCCACACCTCCTGCTCTCGACGCCATTCGTGTGAGGGCTTGTCTGACCTCCAAGTCGTGACCTTAAGCCTCCTCCATGCCCTCCCACTAATTCAACACCCTGATCCCACACCTCACACATCACGACTTGGGAGGGAGGCGCGGGGGGGGGGGCGCGGGGGCGGGAGTAAGCGGCTGGAGGGCGAGAGAAGTCGGGAGGTCCGTACTCTTCGTGGGGATGAAGTTGAAGGGCCTCGATTCTCTCGGGAACGCAGAGCTCGCCGTTCGGAGCAGCCAACAGAGCAGGAAGAAGGGGAGGGCCCGCGGTCGCCATAGCAACACCACAGCGTTAGTCTGTGGGAATTAAGAAAAAGACACACAAAAATGGCAATGAGTTGTTGCTCAATGAGACAGAGCAGTGAGACAAATGAACATGCAGAGAGACACGGCCTCTCTCACCCCGATGTCTGACTCCCCCAGCATCTCTGTCTCACCACTCCGATGTGAGGGGAGAGAAATAGCTGCTGGGAGCGGGGGGGGGGATTAAACCATCCGAGAGGGGAGAAGTGTCCGGTCAGCGGCGACTGCAGCCCGGATCGCCGCGGCGCAACATGACCACATCAAACATCACACGGCCTATATGACACATCTGAGAGGAATGCTAAGGAGGCGAAGGGGCGACATCTTGGGCGAGACAGAGGACAATGTGTGGCCCTCAGATGAAAGGGTCACCAGTTGAGGGAGAGGGAAGGCAGGATAACGGTCCAGACAAGGAGCATTATGCAGCACATGAAGGAGGCTGAGAGATGGGGGGGGGCGGGAAGTGGTGGTTCACTCAAATGAAATGCTTGCCGGGGCCACAAATCACCGCTCTGACAGCGGAGATGAACTGTTGGTGTTTTTCAGCTTGGAAGTACAGAGGCAGATGCAGGGTCCCAGATGTGATTCGTGTGGTAATTTGAATGAAGAAAGTCAGCCTCCACGTGACATCCAGACACCGTACGGAGCACTTTAAGCTCCTCTATCGACTTCCGCCACAAACCCCCGGCAGGCTCGACTGGCTGCCTGCTTTTACTGCTGTAGCATGTGTGTAGCGGAATCCAATGTGCATCCAACAGGCACTGTTATTGAAGTTGTTATTATCTTGAGCTCTGACTCATCTGTATCATGTTTCACTGCATACAACCCTGGCGAGGTTTTTAAAACCGCATAACTCCATTGTCATCAGGTTGTTATCGTAACACTGGATGCAACGCGGGGTCATTTGTTTTGAAAATCACTCCCCACTGCTGCACACACAAAACATTTTTTCCAGTCATGCACAACTGCAACATCTCGAATTTGAATACTGCAGGTTGGATTTCTTTACACAAAACACCTCAGCAATTTATTGTGGCTACAGATGCACAATGTGTAAAAGGATGCAAACGCAGAGACTACAAAGTACAGAATCCACAATGCACCGTCCTTCTGTGTCAGGCTTGGTCTCTCTTAAGACTCTTTTCATGTCTTTTCAATTCAGCACAAGTCCACTGAACCCTATTGTGTTCACGGGCAAAGATTACAAGTGTTTTGCATTTTGTTACGACAATAAAATAGTTATGATCAAACCTTGTGCACAAGGTCATTGTCATGATGAATTAGAAAAACTCCTTCAATAAAAGCTCCAACAATTTGGAAGCTAGTAAAATACCACCGTGTGATATATTATAGGATGATGTGGAATGCTAAAACACAGGCTAGCATAGCATTACCACGAGTAGAGCAGAGGATAACCCAACGAACACAATGTGTTTTTAAATGTGTTTCTCTAAACGTGACTCGGCCCCTTGGGATTGTACACGAGGGGCCTGGCTCAAACAATGGCAAACAGCAACTGACCAAGACGGTGATATCACAGTAAAATATGGTGATAACAACAATAAGTGATGGCTCTATCTTAATCTTAAATTACAGGGAAATTGGATCTGGGTCGGACTGCTGCGGGCTGGAGTCCAAGCAAAGAAAACGCATAATTTTTAACTTATTATTCTATTAGTTCCTCACAGTAACTCTCAGTAAAGTACAGAATAAAGCTACAGAAGCCCCCGGCCGGTTCCCCCCCCCCCCCCTCTCCCAGCCTCCCAAAGGGTACAAACAGCCATTGTGCAGCGCATCTCAGTAATGGAGTCCCAGTCATAACCTTATCAGGACACATAATCTTTAAGGGACATTTCTCACATTCCCTCCTCTGACATCACAATTAAAGTGGGAGGCATGCTAATTACTCAACACCCACAAGAGAAATGACAGGAGGTAAAGGGGGAAAGTCACCCACAGAAGAATGGAGGTCATGGGGTTAAGAGGGAGAGATAGGGATGAGTGAGAAACAGTGAGAAGGAGAGAGAGAGAGAGAGAGAGAAGAGGAGACTAGTCACTATATCCAATCACAGATTCTATTGTTTCTGCTATTAGTAATGTATGAATAAATGTCAGGCGGTACGCATTCGATTAGTATAATTGGACACCCTGGGCTATACAATTCCATGGGACAGCAGAATAAGTAGATACAAGTATTAAAGTGTGTGTGGGGGGGGGTTCAGCGCGAAAGCATCTCTTTAATTGTGACAAATGGCTGCAGCCGAGTTCATTCAGAAGCCTCGCTGCACGGCACGAGCAGCGCAGTAACACACCGTTGTCAATGAACAAGGCATATACACGTTTTCCCATTTGGAGCAGACAGTAAACACAAATGTTGGACCCCAGGGTGCTATGGAATTGAAATGGCAGTTTTTGGGGGGGGGGGGGAATTGAAATGGCAGTAAAATGTCACTGAAGTCATTCTGACGCCGGCACGCATTTAAGAAACGTCACAAACGACACAGTTAGCAGCAGCAAATGATCGTGTCTGTTCTTTCACCGGGAAGACGAGAGTGGAGTGAAAGTTTTAGCTCATCCGCTCTACAACTATATCTTCATCAGCGTTCCCCATGAAACCGAACCCCTGAACTCATCAACACGCTCCATTCGCTTCAACCGGATTGACGTAGATCTGTTTCCACAGCCGCAGATCAATGTGATTATGGCTGTTTAGGCAAGTCATTTCACAAACAAAGCCATTAAAAGAACATTTAGCTGCCAAAGGTGTGTGTGTGTGTGTGTGGATGGAGCCAAGTCTCCCTCGAACCCCATTAAAGCCGTCTGGTAATGTTCACCACTCGGATAACTTCGATAACGCGTCAGCAGATGATCAATCGCCGACTGGAACGGCTGAATCAGATTTTTAAAAAGGGAGGCGTGAGAAGCGTGAGTGGTTTGAGGCGGTCAAGAGACGTAAAGAATGTCCGCGATGTGGATTTGTTTGCTGGTTCTGCAGAGACAGTGAGCGTCTGCTGCAGGGGATCGGACGCTTTACATGCAAATAGAAACACATCATGGAACGAAGGTGCTTAATATGCTCTGAAAGGAAGCTCTCGATTTTCTCCTCTCCTCAGTCGATCTACCTCTTCCCTTTCCCCATCGCGTCACGCCTTGGTTTCTCGCTTTTGTTGATTCCTCTCGTTTTTCGTGTGTTTTCATTTCCCAGCCGTGAGCTGCTTGCACTAAAGATTTCCAAAGCGAGATTATGCGTGTCCTAGATGTGGGGAAGATGGTAATGAACTAGAGCAGTGTTAATGGAGGCACTGTGGTGGTTGGGGTATTTATGATTAAAATATTAAACAGAATGTCTGTCAAGGATTATACAGAGTTATCAGTAGTGGTAACAAGGTACTCAAGCAATTGTCGGATATAATCCCTTTTCACACCGGTCGCCCTTGCTAATAAAAGGAAGGAAGAATAAACTCAAGCAAGGTCTTTTTTGACTCAAATCCTCTTATTAT